GTCTGTACACTGTGCAAACAAAATAAGCCATCCACCAACACCTGACGCCAGTGGTGTGCAGAAAGACCTGCGTAGTCAGCAGCTCAGAAAGAACATTTGACGCCGAATGCACGGTGTGGCAGCACCGGCGGAAACAGACTAACACTAATGTGGCTTACGTCGAAAGAATCTATTCCTTCCAACTTCGGTAGTCTTCAATTGTGAAGGCAGTATTGCATTTCTGCGTTGACCTTGTCTTGACTACGCGTGTGACGGCAATCGCCGAGAATTGCGGAGCCCCTGTGTTCGCTCATAGCATACCCGCAGCAGCCAAATCTCTGTACACCTTTTCTGGCATGACATTGCCCTCAGAATCCTCCATTTCAACGACATTCTCGGCAAGCGTCTTTTCTTTCTTCTTGTCCTTTTGGATCTTCCTCCAGAGCGTCTCGGCCTCCTGAATGCTGGTGATTTCTCGGAAGAGTGTAGTGTTGGTGATGCCGAGACACTTCAAGCCATGAATATGGCGAGGCTCGTTGAAATGCTTGTCGAAAGCGCGTCTTCCCATATATACGAAGTTGCCGCAGACTTCACAAGGAAACTCGACTCCAAGACCATGTAGCTTGTATAGCCAAAAAGGAATCGGCTTGCCATCCCAGGCAAGCGGAAGCTTGAGCGGATTGTATATCTTGTCTTCGCCGTCTGAATCATTCTCTTCCTCTTTCGCTCCCGCGTCTGGTGCTTCCGAGTATAATTGTTCGAGTTCTTGTTGTCGCTCACGCTCCGTCATGCCCTGTTTCCGCTCGACGTTGACCTTGGTATCACCACGCTCGGTCTGCATGGCGGCAGCAAGTCGTTTTATACGGAACTCTCGTTCGGCGACTGCCCGCTCTTTAAAACGCTGAATGTCAGTAGTTCCACCATTGGATTTCGCAGTTGCTTTATCCGTAGAGCCATTTTGACTTTCTAGCAGAGCCTTCTTGTGCTTCTTGCCCGACAAATGCGCCTCATAAACCGTTTCTTTCGAAAAGCCCTTGTTGCACGCTGAGCACCAGATGCCTTCGCCTTGTGCTTCGCCGTTCGTCGGTGCAGATGATGGTGCATTCTTTTCCCAGCCCGAGACTTCGTCCTTCTCCCACAGCTCGACGAACTCCTTGTCAAAGTTAGCGAAGAGCTTGTCTAGGTTCTCTAGCGGCTTCGTTCGGCGCATGAAGCCTTCGAGGTAGTCTTGCAGTGCCTTCAGGTACTGAAAATAAGCCTCCGATTTCTTTTGGTCGCGGCGAATGTTGCATTGAGGCGGGGTGAAGACATCGAACAGATCAAGGTACTGCAGATAGGTCAGGCGACGCGCGTGTTGGTGAACGGGAAGGTTCAAGTACTGCTCGTGCAGTGTGGTCAGGTCAAAAAACCGTCCAAAACCCTCCTCACCAGTGAACATGGCGTCAATGGCAGCGATGGATTGCGCGTGATCTTCAGGCGAGCGCTTCTTGTATGCCTTTTCCAGATTCTCGACGGGCTCGTTTGGGTAGCGGCTGTGGAAGTCTTTGACCGATGCGATTTCCTTCATGAAGGATTCCATGGGGTCGCCGTGAGTCAGGCCGCGCACCTCATCCTCCTTGTTCCCGTCGACGTCTTGATAAATAGTGAGCAACCGACTCGACTGGCTCTCAATCTGCTCTAGGAATCGCGAGATGTCATGGTCACGTGCTAGGCGGTCGCGAATCTATTGTCAGGTCAGCAAGAGCGTTGCAACAGGCGCAGTGGAGGGTCGTACGTGCGGAGGGTCCTCGAGCAGGCGTTCGGCGATGGCGTCCTCGAGGCGCTCCAAGTCCTCGTGGAACTGGCGCTGGTCTTCCAAAAGCATAATTGCGGTCGCCTATACGAACTATGAGTCCTCTGGGTAGTAGCAGTCGGAAAGTAGAAGTGCAGACCTTTGCGGCGTCGGCGTTGTCGGGCTGTAGGTGAAGCTCGCTGGCGGCGAGATAAATCGATATGGCGCTAGGGTGGATAGTTTCGCCGAAGATCCGTCTCCGCAAAGCTTAATCGCCGAGAGCTCTCTAAACTTTCTCGCGCAACGCTTGCGACAACTCGCCTCTCCACGACTTCTACCAAAGGAAATATACCAAACCACATCCACCATGGCGGACGGAATCGATCGAAATGCGGACGACAAGATGGAGTTCTCCACCTCCAAGGAGGTCACGGTGGCGCCGACCTTCGAGGCCATGCATCTCAAGGAAAACTTATTGCGTGGAATCTATGCATACGGCTACGAGTCACCTTCTGCCGTCCAGTCGCGTGCTATTGTGCAGGTCTGCAAGGGTCGCGATACGATTGCTCAGGCGCAGTCTGGAACGGGAAAGACAGCGACCTTTTCCATCTCCATTCTCCAGGTCATCGACACAGCGGTTCGGGAGACGCAAGGTCAGTAGTAAGAACCTATTTCGCATTAACTTAGCTAAACATATACAGCACTCGTTCTCTCGCCCACTCGCGAACTTGCAACCCAGATTCAGTCGGTCATCATGGGCCTCGGCGACTACATGAACGTCCAATGCCACGCCTGCATTGGAGGAACCAACGTGGGCGAGGACATCCGCAAGCTCGACTACGGCCAGCACGTTGTATCAGGAACCCCAGGCCGTGTGGCTGATATGATTCGCCGCCGCAACCTTCGCACACGCAACATCAAGATGCTGGTTCTTGACGAGGCTGACGAGCTCCTCAATCGCGGTTTCCGAGAGCAGATCTACGACGTCTACCGCTACCTGCCACCTGCGACGCAAGTCGTTGTCGTCTCCGCTACCCTTCCATACGATGTCCTCGAAATGACAACCAAGTTCATGACCGATCCAGTGCGCATTCTCGTCAAGCGTGACGAGTTGACGCTCGAAGGCCTCAAACAGTACTTTATTGCCATTGAGAAGGAGGAATGGAAGTTCGATACCCTGTGCGATCTCTACGACACACTCACCATCACACAAGCCGTCATCTTCTGCAACACTCGCCGCAAGGTTGACTGGCTAACTGATAAGATGCGCGAAGCTAACTTCACCGTGTCCTCAATGCATGGTGACATGCCGCAAAGAGAGCGTGACAGCATTATGCAGGACTTCCGTCAGGCCAATTCACGCGTGTTGATCTCTACCGATGTCTGGGCGCGTGGTATCGATGTGCAACAAGTTTCCCTAGTCATCAACTACGATCTCCCGTCGAACCGTGAGAACTACATTCACAGGATCGGTCGAAGTGGTCGATTCGGACGCAAGGGTGTAGCCATCAACTTTGTTACCCAGGACGACGTACGCATTCTCCGCGACATCGAATGTAGGTTTATTCCTCACCAAGTAGCCCGCATAGCTGACAGGAACAAGTGTATTACTCTACTCAAATCGATGAGATGCCAATGAACGTTGCCGACCTTTTGGCGTAGACGTAGGCGTGGACCACGGACGCAGCATTAGGGATACTAAGCGCATTTGATGCTCAGCATCGATCTGCCAAGGCTTGGAAAAGTCAAGATAGAAGCACTACCCGCTTCCAGGGATTGATTGTGGAGGAAGGGGCTCTATAGCCATCTAGTAAGTCTACACGGCTCGTGACTCACATCATCCTAGCTAATTATTTGGCTCTGGCCAGTACCAAATTGGAATTATCAATACCATACCGTCTAGTTCGACCATTCCTACTTCATATACTCAAGCCATTGCTTTATCAAGGTACGAGAAGAACGAAACCAGGATGTACACCAACAGCTACGAAGTTTTATTTTCTGGCTCTTCATTTATAACACTTTCTGGAGATTCCACACCAACATTATTACCCAGTCACATGTGATGCATTCCTCTATTTGGCCATAGCTCTCTTCACATGGCTAAATTGCCATTTGCCGAGGGCCCTTTTAAAAAGTATCGCACCACACTTGTGTGCTGACTAGGTGTTTGAGCGATTTCACAACCCGTCATACTACTCAATGAAATCGAGGAATATTAGTCAAAGTTTATCACATTCTGTACTGTGTGATAGATGTTGTGTAATATGACTTGTTAGAATCTAGTCAATGAGATAGCAGGAATAAAGCATGTAATTTTCGAGATCGTGGTGCCTAACATGTTTGTCGTGTACTCACTAGCGACAAATTTAGACCATCCAACCTGTACTAAGATGAAATAGGTAAGCTCTTTCTACTGATTGATCTAGTCCAGCAAATGATGTGTTTCCAAAGTCATACTGCTTTGACGTTGCATTAGCCAATTGTAGTTCAGATGCTCCGGTATTTGCGATTGGAGTAGGTGGACACAATCGAAGGCTCACACACATAGATAACAATAACGATGAAATAAGAAAAGTTTGCCAGACAATCTGACCACGCATAGCTCTTATCGCTAGGCTGGCCGAAGGACAACTTAGAAATGGAGGTAAACATTCTTGGAAGCATGTACTGCGCTATAGGGAACTATCCCATACTATACCTGGGTACGAGGATAATTGTCACCAAGTTGGATGCTCAAATAACCATGGTAGCAGGTCCAATGAGAAAGAATATGTATTTCTTCAAGAACGTCTTCGACATCTACTTTCGGCTCATACCATGCTTCACCTGTCGTAGGCTGCCGATTACCCGGGGTAAGCATAAGAACCAAGGTAAAGGTGTTGGAAGTTTGATTTGCACTTGGACCTAAGAGCTCATGAATGATATTTAGATTGTGGAGTGGCAAAGCCTAAGCATTCGCTATCATACATGCATCCAAAAAGGATGTGCGTGCACATCTTAATCCATCTGCGTGCCAACATGCTTGTCTTCAGCTCACCATCGAACGCCTCATTTCCTAATCAAGTCAAACAGGCGAACATGCATCTCACCATCAGCTCTCCACAACAATCACCTCGTTCAGGCCCCCAGTGTCTTCTCAGAGGCATGAGAACAGTATTCAAGAGTTCAGTCGTTGTTGGATTTATATAGTTCTTCATTTCATCTCTTTTCATAGCAAAACAGACAGGTGCCAAGGCGCATCACATGCCTCCCCTTAGTGAAGTGGTTATCACGTTCGACTGTAATATCAATTGTGTTCGAAAGGTCCCATGGTTCGACTCCTGGAGGGGAGAAATCGTCTGTCTTATATTTTTGCTCGAGGGTTGGGGAAGTTGTCGAGCTGATGGGGCGGAAGGCGGTCCGGTCTGGGCGCCTGATGCTGAGGCTGGATGCATGCAGATGTGGGGCGTGATACGCTTGAAGTGGAAAAAGCAAGCCGTAAGCGAAGTAGGATCGCTTTTGGGCGATTGATGAGATACTTATATTATGCAGAATTATTATGACGTGTTGGCTGACTTAAGTGTTCGTAAAACTTGATTACATTTACCGTATCCCTCCAAACTTCACAACTTGCCATGCGCCCTTTCCATTCGCCGTCGATGCGCAGCTTGTCGCTTCGCCTGAGCGGACATTGGTTTGTGAACCCCCAGCGAGACAATTGAGTCTGAGGATCTTATTGTTACCTCCTCTTCTGTCTTAGCTTGTGGCTGTTTTGAGTACTCTGGAATCGAATGGAGGGACTTTGGCGACTTCAACTCTTCTGGAAACGTTGAGAATGGTGTTGGTAGTTTAGGCTTCTCAACAACATATGTTTGGCTAAGAAGTCTTTGCTGGAGTAGAGACAGCTCAGCATCGTGATTCAGAGCAACTGGAGACAATGGCGGAGATCTCTGATCGCGCGCAGTCAACGACGTAAAGCGGTTGAGAGCTGCTTCAGTCAACTCGGTTGTGCTCCCTGCGACAACGGCAGCTTGTAGAAGAGGCTTGCGAGTTACAAATGAATTGCTGGACTGTGTTGACGCAGTGCGCTCAGGTCTGTGAAGACTTGTTCCCGTTGAAGCAGAACAACCGATACTATCCGTTGAAGAAAGTGTATCAGGGACATGGTGATCCTGCGTCGAAGCATTGCCATTATCGTTTGGCGGCTCTGACAAGTTTTCAATCCCGCTGTCACATTGCTCACCAGGAGACCGGTTTGTGGATTCTGCTATGCCTGAATCAGGTTTCGATATAGCCAGTTGATTTTGAGTTGGTACTTGGGCGATTGCTGGACTTGATGTGACGGAATTTGTTGGGGATGACCAAACTGAGGAGTTCTTCCACCCGTGGCTCTGTAGCCGATCGCTCGTTGAACTAGGAAGTACCCAGCCCACCAAATCTTCGATAAGTGAGGATTGGCTTTTCAGATGTGGAAGTTCTGAGGGCAGAGATCTATGCCTTTGGGAGTGTCTTGGCACATCAATAGCCTGCGCGCGGTATCGCCTTGCTATACGCGGTACGGTAATGGTGGTTTTCGTGGATGCCGTAGAGTCGTTTCGATCTATAGACGTCTCGGCAAGCGATGAAAGGGCTGTAGATCCATCCATATGCTCATCTGGCCTTATATCTGGCGGCGAGAAGGAAAGAACAGGGCTCGGATATGATTGTGGGCTTCCCAGAGTAGATGGCCTGCTCAAACTGGCATCGCCAGGTCTTCGAAGGTTGGAAGGAGCATAAATGTCTAGCTTGTTTGCATTATCAAGATCCTCGGGCGTGCTGCCAGGCAACTCCGCGAGCGGTGAATCAATTGAGCTCGCTTGCGAAACGTCAGCCAAAGGTCTAGATAACTACGTTCAAAGCTTACAGCGAGTACATTCTCTCTCAGCCTCATACAAAGCAACGCTAGAATCAGACGCAGTGGCATGATTCAGTCTACCTCTCTGTCTCGAATACGGTCCGCGGAGTACATTTCTGTCAGTAGTTGGTACCCAGGGTCGCACTGGGGCTTCATAAATGGGGTCATGTAAAAGTCCTCCAGGAAGTCCACACATTTCTGCGGTTTGCATAACGTGAATAGCTCCAGCTAAGTCTCTCTGACAAGTCTTTAGTTGCTCTTGTTTCTTTATGAGCCGTTTTTGATGAGTAAGTAGCCACTCAAACTTGCGCTTCATTGCGAATGGGGCCTCTTCGTCTCCGTTCACCCGCACTGCGTCCATGTCCATGCCGATGTCATTCAGAGTGTGTCGAACGTCGAGCAAAATGCGCTCAACCCATGTTCTTTTGTCTGGCCAGGCATCCAAAAACGTCGAGACCGCAGGGGACAAGTAGAGCCGGCTTGCTTCAGCGATATCTTGTCGCACGCCCTGAATGAGATTGGCAAAAGATACGGTCTCTAATGAGGCCTTGTTTGAGGATGAAACAAAATCGGCGAAGCTGAAGGCCGTTGGCAGCGACGACAGGACATTCACGCTGTCTTCGGAAGTTTGACGCGTTGGCAGAGCAACTATGTTGTCCTCCGACCCTCTAGGTCCGTGTTTTTGTCGTCCGTTCTTCCATTGGAAATACTTCAGCCTCGTTGGCTCAGCCTCGGTATGAGTTGTTGCAGAATCGCTCTTGCGGTGTAAAGTCTCTGGGAGATATAAGCCCGCGGTTGGTAACATCGCGCTCGATGTTGACCGTGATTCGAGATCTATAACCACGCCTCTTTTGCTGCAGGAATATATTGTTTCGGCAGGTGTGGAAAGGCTGTGAGATGATCCGCAGCCGTGGGCAAGATGCGTGAGATTCAAGCCCCGCGACAATGAAGCCAACTGCAAAGCCCCACCTACAAGGAGGGAAAATTGGCAGGAATTCGCTGCTTTAACCGTTATGGTATAAGTGCTGGACCGACGAAGCTGCTCATGCAGGTGGTATCAAACACTTGTCGTGGTTCAAGCATGGACAGTGTGTGAGAGTCGCAGAGCTTGGGGCGGAGAACCACACTACCCGCAGATCTACACAATCGGTGCCGCAGAGAGGACCGTCCTGCGTGTGTGTGGAATACGAGTCGACGGATTAGGTAACAAGGCTCCAATGGGTGGGTCGGAAGCGGAGTGCCATGTAAAAAGCTCTCTATTGAAATAAGTATCGTACCAACTAATTAACTGTGCCTCATCGCCTTGTGGGGGGCGAAAATATGCACCAAAGGCCGATTATCTTGAACAGGAACCTTATTTCCGGTGAGCACAGGTTTTTGGCTTTATCCAGCGAGTGAAATCTGCAGAAGCGGACAAATCTTATTGTTGCAGTGACCATGCAGTGCCTCAGCCAAAAGCACATTGCTTTTGATATCTTACGCCGTGTCCTCAATCGCAGCCATAGGATGTGCACAAGGCTAGAACTTGGTGCTACAGAAGTTCAAAAGGAAATATATATCATTCAGAAGCTATCTAGCAAGTGCCTCCATTCTTCCACATGGGTGTCAGCCAAAACTTGAACTATCAGCCTTCTTTAAACACCCAGTCGTCGAATCACGGCCTCGCCGAATGGTCGGGGTGGTCTGATAAGCTCTCCAGATTCATCTGCCACTTGCACAAGCGCAGGGAAGATGCACAATTCGCCGGATTTAACGCCCTGCTCCTCTTTCCAGTCGAAATCCCAAGAGCTTGGCTGGGAAAACAAAGTGAAAGCAAACAGCGCTGATCGCTTTATCAACTCCTCAAGATTATGCTTACGCTGATCGTTATCTATACGCAAGTCAGCATACGGTTGCAGAACGTTTTCGAGAACAGTGACCGCCGCTCGAATACTAGTATTACGACTGTCAGAAGAGGTGAATGGATCTCGGACGTATGCTGACTTCATCAGCTCTGCAGTAATTGTGCGCCATCGCGCTGTTAACAATGCGTGTGCTGAGTAGTGATCAGCATGAATTTACCACAATTCGGAATCAGACAAGTACCTACATTTGGACCCATGTTCTACGTTATCAATTCCATGGAGGCATTGCGCGACCTCAGTTGGCAGAAGACCGTTCGATTGCTCTGTATTGCTTTGCAACCTGGATATGATGACCCAAGCAATACAGAACCGTAAAGCAATTTCTCTGGTGGCAGAATTTCGTAGTAATGTACTGAGCGTTCCAACTGATATCGGCATGTTGTGTCCTAGCGCCTGTATATCGTCGTATTCACTTAGGACAGGGCTAACTTGGCCGGTGTGATAATAGCTCTGAACATGGTTCTTGATTGAGTTACAGATTTTTGAGATGTCCCCGGAGATGGTTTTGTCTTCTAACGGCTGAGGAAGATCGCCTCCGGGCGCTGGTACCATCAGGCTTCCGCTCTCTAGAGAGACCACTCTAGTCGTAGGCTTCTTGTCGTAAGTAGTCAGCGCAAGCGCACTGGCTTCTGAATCGCGAGCTCGCGACTTTCCGCGTTTTGCCCAACACAGCCAGAACAATAACCCAGCGATCAGCGCTCCCGCAATAAGACAGCCTATGGCAGTCCCTGCAATTGTCCCGCTGCTGATGCCAGTGCTTTGACTTGACACACTGCTTGAAGTGGACGGCGATGTAACGGTAGTTGACGTTGGCGTGGTTGTCAAGGATGCTGGGTCCGTCGCAAGTGGTGACGAGGCTACCGTAGTAGTTGGGGAGATCGCAGGCGTCATACTGACTGGTAGAGGGTCACCCTCAACACTCAAATTATGGTCAGTGCTACCAATTTTAACGTTGAAGCCATCGAGGGATGGCCTAATCGGTTCTTTGTTCCAGACACCACAATTCTGTGCTGGGAGGAAGGTTTGAGGTTCTTCTGTAGCCTGCCCAGATAAAGGGAGGGCAGGAAAGATCATCCCTTGAGGCCATGGCAAGACGGTGATCGTCAATTGAATCACTGGGGAACTGTAGGGGATCCGACGCGCGAACGCTGATAAAGGGGCGGCGGCTGGTGTGGGCGGAGTCGGTGACAAGACATATGATGTTGGGCAAGCCATTGTTCATAGCAAGCAAACTAAGACTATAGTGTTGATTTTTTTTAGCTGGTGAAGAATATTTCAATGCTAAGAAGGGAACTATCCTTACAGTGACTGAGATGCGCCAATTGCCTAGTGACAACAAGAAGTTGAGATGTCCAGGTCCAGATACGATGAGCGTGGCATGATTTCAGAAGTAATTTCTATGAGCTGGAAGATTAACTTATAGAGAGTTTTCGCCGTCTGCGAGAGACGCCTTGTGTGACAATCCGGTCAGTGCTAACTTTGGCTACGACTTCACACACTCCTGCATTCGACCGCTCTCAACATCAAATCAGCAATGCCCAAGAGCTACGGCTGT